GGTTGCGCATTTAGCCGAAATCGGGTTCGTTTTCCACGAATCATTAAAAGAAAAAAGGTGAGTGTCATTGTAATGCAAGATAAGTTCATTAATGTTCCTAGAGAATCAAATCGCGCGTGTTTCGCGCCTCACAAAAAGTTGGGTGACTTTTTTTTGACACATGATAGCATTTTTTTTGTTTTGCTATTACGCGTATTTGAAGTAACAATCGCTCAAGATTATTTTACATTTGACCAGGTTTCTAGAAGCCAAAAATATGAGAAATCAACGCCTCAAGAAGTTAAGCATGTATCAACACAGACAACAGCCGACCACCTTCGCTCATTACACAGCCAACGGCCAGCCACGCTTAACAACAACACCTCCACATCGTGGTGGTACACCCCCGATGTGGCCCCCAGTACTTTGCTGTGGCTGGCCGGCCCTAAAGACTGTCTTGAAGACAGTATATCAGAATTAGGTAGGTTTAATTTTCAGTTCTGCGTTGTTAAAAAACCTATGTCAAAGATTGATGTTTAATTTAATGATGATTAGAAAAAAGAAAAAAAAGAGTTGTTTTAACTTAATTAGAAAATAATTAAGCGTGCCTAGCTTTGCTTATTTGTGTTACAGTTAATGAACTAATTAATTTATTTAATTATTATCTAGTTTTACTCAGACGACAACAAGAAACGCGCGATGTTTGTAAATTTTAATTTTTTCTGTTTGTGATTTAGTTGCTATAGAAACCGCCTATGCCGCACGCGCGCGCGCTTTTCGCATTCAAGTACGTCATTCGTTTATGAACGGATAAAATTTAAATTTAACATACAGCACAGTTTGATAATCGTTGTTTGCAACTCGAAAAAATCTCACACTTATAAGCTACCTTGTAAAATGGTGTTTTCGCTTTTGTCCCTACAGCCAACACTAGCAAAAACAAGAACAATAACAAACAAGAAGGCAATGATCAGGATGAAAGCAAGAAAATCGACTTACCAGCTTGTCTGGAATATCAAGGTACGAATCATTCTAGAGACAAAAAAAACCCAATTCTTGATAACTTTTCAAGTGATAGAATTTCTTTTAAACGGACCTTGAGTCTCTTTTTTTTGTTCTCAGACGTACTATTACCAACAAACATTCCATATAATTTCTTGTACTCTGGTTTATTCTAACGGAAACGTTGTATCTTATTATTATTTCTCTTTTTGTTCTCAGGTTTTCATGAATATGGATATCACCTGTTTACTTTAAACAGTTCAGTTTTTAACAACACTGTTCAAGACTCGAGCCTGGAGTAAGTATAGTGCCTTAAATTGCGTAAGGATAATAACGCTAAACTGAGCCTATACTGTAAGCTTTAGGAATAAGGTCGGTTCACCCGTGTACATAACGATCTCACGCTATTTTAAACTATAGGAAAATCGTTATTTTATATGTTATTTTAATCCTGAGTCTCAAATATAGAACATTTTTGAGTAGTACAATGGAATGTAAAGTAAAACGTGAGTTTTACTGTGGGCCTATTCGGACCGCTAAGAGAACAATCAGAATTATTTTTTTTCATCGCAGACCAGTTAAGCCGTATAATAATTTGATATAATCAGTTTTTATATTCCATGAAGATTAAGCCATAGTTGGTAATTTAGCCGAATTTAATTGAGAGCCTCCTTTGTTAACTATATATTCCATGCTGATATTTGTAAAATTACTTGGATCAACTTTCTGTCACTGATCTTTTCTTTTTCTTTGGGGACACAGTTGCATTCCAGAAGCTATCGCTTCAATCCTGGGCCACGATAAAAATCCATTTGTGATTGAGTACAAAAACACCCAGGAGAACACCACGTACCTGCCAAACCCACCAGCCTGGAGCAATGATATACTGGNCTCAAGAAGTTAAGCATGTATCAACACAGACAACAGGCGACCACCTTCGCTCATTACACAGCCAACGGCCAGCCACGCTTAACAACAACACCTCCACATCGGGGTGGTACACCGCCGATGTGGCCCCCAGTACTTTGCTGTGGCTGGCCGGCCCTAAAGACTGTCTTGAAGACAGTATACCAGAATTAGGTAGGTTTCATTTTCAGTTTTGCGCTGTTAGGAAACCTATGTCACAGATGGATAATTAATTTGATGATAACTAGAAAAGAACGTTGCGTTAACTTAATTAGAAAATAATTAAGCTTGCCTAGCTTTGCTTAATTATTTCTGTTACAGTTAATGAAGTAATTAATTAATTTATTTATTATCTAGTTTTACCCAGACGAAAACAAGAAACGCGCCATGTTTGTAAATTTAATTTAGTTGCTATAGAAACCGCCTATGCCGCGCGCGTACTTCTCGCATTTAAATACGTCATTCGTTAATGAACGGATAAAATTTAAATTTTAACATACAGCACAGTTCGATAATCGTCGTTTGCAACTCGAAAAAATCTCATACACTCATTAGCTACCTTGTAAAATGCTGTTTTCGCTTTTGTCCCTGCAGCCAACACTGGCAAGAACAAGAACAATAACAAACAAGAAAGCAATGATCAGGATGAAAGCAAGAAAATCGACTTACCAGCTTGTCTGGAATATCAAGGTACGAATCATTCTAAAGGCAAAAAAAATCCAATTCTTGATAACTTTTCAAGTGATAGAATTTCTTTTCAACGGACCTTGAGTCTCTTTTGGTTCTCAGACGTACAATTACCAATAAACACCCCATATAATTTCTTGTACTCTGGTTTATATTCTAACGGAAACGTTGTATCTTATTATTATTTCTCTTTTTGTTCTCAGGTTTTCATGAATATGGATATCACCTCTTTACTTTAAACAGTTCAGTTTTTAACAATACTGTTCAAGACTTGAGCCTGGAGTAAGTATAGTGTCTTAAACTGCGTAAGCATAATAACGCTAAACTGAGCCTATACTGTGAGCAGTAGGAATAAGGTCAGTTCACCCGGGTACATAACGATCTCACGCGATTTTAAATTACAGGAACATTGTTATTTTATATCTTATTTTGATTCTGTGTCAAAAATATAAAACATTTTTGAGTAGTACAGTGGAATGTAAAATAAAACTTGAGTTTTACTGTGGGCTTATTGTTGTAAAATTCGGACCGCCATAAGAAAACAATCAGAATTCTCCTTTTCATCGCAGACCGGTTAAGCCGTATAATAATTTGATATAATCAGTTTGTACATTCCATGAAGATTAAGCCATAGTTAGAAATTTAGCCGAATTTAATTGAGAGCCTCCTTTGTTTCCTATATATTTTATGTTGATACTTGTAAAAATACTTGGATCAACTTTCTGTTATTGATCTTTTCTTTTTCTTTGTGAACACAGTTGCATTCCAGAAGCTATCGCTTCAATCTTGGGCCACAATAAAAATCCATTTGTGATTGAGTACAAAAACACCCAGAACAAAACAACCTACCTGCCAAACCCACCAGCCTGGAGCAATGATATACTGGGAGAGATTTGCACTCGGTAAGTTTTTATGTTCCTGTTAGCCCTATAACCTGAACAGTTATGTATCCTAAAAAAAAAAATGCTGCGCGCAGCCGCTATGTTTAAGTTTCTGTTTTATTCTCTGCTTCTGTTCCACAGCTTCGGTGATCAGCTTCTTCGCGTGGTTTTATACCGACCATCGTGGTTTTTTCAGATTGTGCTCAATGAGCAGGGTGATAACAGCTACTATTTTAGGTGAGAGACCTAACAATGCTTATTTAATTAAGACTAAGAGATCTTTCGCTTAGGAGTACAACTTAATTTTGAAGAACAAAGTTCTCAGGTCTTTAGCACAGAGTTATATTGACTTTATCGTACATTACGAATAGTCCCTCTTTCGCTTAGTCCGTCGTTCGTGACGGGTAGCCGTGCGAAACCCTGGAGGCAAGGAGCGTGGTTTTCTTTCGCGTCACGCACGACGGACTAAGCAAAAGAGGGACTACTCGTAGTCTAACTCTATTGAGGATTTTAATTTCTTTCTTAGTTTGGCAGTCAGAGAGAAGCTGAAGGTCACAAGTGACTACAAAGAACTGGCCATATTGACAGGTATAGATTAATGACGCATATATTAGAACACTGCCATACAAGCAACCCGTAGACACGCCCAGATTT